CTACGTGTGTTCATATGCAGGAGTATACTCGGCTAATTGCCAGGTGATGTCATTTTAATGAAGTGTGTAAACTGAAAATAATTTGGATTTCTTCATTTTGTAAAGTGTGACATGTAAACTGCATTCTACAGAATATATTCATTTTGTCATGAAAGAATGCCCTGTGCCATTGTCAACAGGATTAAATCAATTCTGACAGAAAGAGATACATTCTGAATAAGTTATTAAATTCTCATGTTTATAAAATGACTCTCATATGCTGTCATTTCTTCTGATGACATTTTATTTTTGTTGTAACCTAGAAAAGGTTACTGAATGAGGAATAACCAAAATGGAGGTTGGCAATGAAATGGTAATCTTTATAACATCAACAAAACACAATACTTGCCAGCGGGTGTGAAATAGGTAAACCATTGCTAGTGGTGGAGTACTTAGACAGCAGATTATCCCCTCTTATAATAATGTTCAACGTATTTATGATGGTTGGAACATACCCATTAATCTTCATAGGTATGGTATATAACAGTTTTTAAAGTGAAAAATTCAACTTTACTACCGTAATATGTTTGTGCAATATTAATAATTTCTAAAAAGCCATTTCATTTTATGGGTGCAATGTTTCCAATTGCCCTGTGTCATTTCATTTGACATGTTCTTTCAGATTTCAAGATGGAATGAGATTAGCAAATCGAGGAAATTCTTATATAAAAGGAACGGGATGTTTCATGTCTTAAGCAATTGCATGTACATGATCTGATTCCTTAAGAAAATGATAGCTTAAGACAGAGATCGCCAAAGTAATTGATATCAGCTCTTGGCGGGGTCGGGGTTGTGTATGGAATTATCTAAAGTGTCGATAAATGCAAGGTGGGTCAAAAGTGGGTAGATAAATAAGCTGTGGTGACTTATGATGAAAACTCTACAATTGTCAACCAAATATCAATGCTCTGGCTCTTCAAACTTCACATTAATGATGTCAACCAATATAATAAAAGGTGTATTACTTTACTTTGATATGTTTATTATTACCTATATTATTTATGGTATGGGCAGGTAGCCAAGTGGTTAAAATGTTCACATTCTGACCATGTGTTATATACTGTACCTATGAACACTAATGAGTATGACCCAATCCTCATAAGTACGTTGGACACTATTGGAAGTGTGTGTGTGTGGGGGGTAATATGCTGTTTAAATAGTCCACCACTAGCAGTGGTTTACCTACTTCACACTGCTGGCGAGTACTGTATTTTGTTGATGTTATAAAGATTACTGTTTCATTTCCAACCTGTTTTGGATATTCCTCATTCAGTAACCTTTTCTAGGTTGCAACACCATGAAACCTGGATTCAAATGTCACCATGGTTGATTTTTTAGAAAGGAGACTTCCTGATGCTATCGGACTGGAGGGAGTCGATCCCAGCATTTGGAAAGTGAAAACCATACCAAGGGGTAACCCAAACCTTGTGAGTGAAATTGGGTAGACAGAACCCTTGAGAGCTGTCAATAGCTGTGCTAGCACAAAGTCACAAGTCATCGTGGCCGAGGGCTTGAGCGTGCTGGCCTTGATGATCACGCTAGATAACACGCTCTTTCCTAGAAACTGTAACAAAGGTCTGCACAGCATAGTTACAGTATAAACCACAGGTGGGCTCTGTGGGTGTTGAACAAACACAAATGTCCCTGAGCGAGCGTCTGCAATAGGGAATAGGGATTTGCTAGCTGCCCTAGTAGATGGGTATCCTCGAATACGAGTGGCCATATTATGGTAATTTTTTTTATTATTATTCATGTATAGGAAGAGAAAAAATTGGAAAAAAAGAAAATAGAAAAATAAAATGAATCAAGGAACAAGAGAAAAGGGGCAAAGGAATTTTTACTGTTAAATTTATTTATTTTTTACATGGCTAAAAGATCCCATAAGAGGGTCAATAATCTAAAATGTTTATAGGTCCTTGACTTAAGGCATGAAACCATCAGTCACTATGCATTATTGGTTTTAAATGTCCATATGTTTATATGTACAAACAATTTATCTCTGATATTAAGCACTTTTATAAATTTAGCAAATGTTAAACAATTATATAATATATATATATATATACTCACCTTTGTCTGGTAATATTCATAGTTACTGGTTTTATCCAATCTCTCTATATAAAACATAACGTTTGTGTGTCTGTCTGATACCATTTCACTCGAGATCCATCCAACAGAGTTTGACCAAACTTAGCACATTGTACAAGATATAGGTTCTTAGCATAAAAAATTCATAATTAAAAAAAAAAGTCAATAATCAATAAAGCCAATTAAAAATCGATAAATTCAACTTTTTTTCCTTCGATTTTGTTCAAACTCAGTATGAAGGTTACTTACATCATGACTAGCTCAACGATACCTCGTTTTTATTTCTATGCCACTGCATTTAGCGAAAAACCACGAAAAACAAAAAATCGATTTCAATACAAATCAATTTTAAACTAAAAACACTCCCAATTTTCAAGCAATCTAATACAAATTTCATTCAATTGTAGCCAACAATAAGTTAATTGTTTAACAGTCATTTAACTTGATAATTGAGTCCACTGATATCGTGAAATCCTGCATAAATAGCAAAAAATGGTGATTTTTTACTGGTTTTCTTATTTTTCATTGACCTTTCAACCAATTTTCATCAAACCTAACAATTGCTTTATAAATGTATCCTTTACATTCCTGGTAACACATTGATAAATTGAATTTCAAAAACTCAAAAATAATTGTGGTCTGAAGTGGGTCTTCATGTTGCCTGTTTTACCCCTTCATGTCCTCGGCTAACTTCGATTAAGTAAATACAGATTACTTCTGTTACATCAGTAACTGCATTAATTCAAAATATTTTTTAATGAAAGTACTTTAAAGTAATTAGAGAAGATAGACTCTGTTACATCTAAACATGATGCTGTTTTTTCTTCATTCTAATTGAACGCTTTTTCTGATCAACCAGCTGGCTGCTAGTATTAAATATGTCCTTTTTTATATCTTCATGTCTCCAATACATGGTAAAAGAAAGGTACATTTGCTTCTTCCTGTAATTCACATGAGCATTCATGTTGCTAGTGGCAAAAAATATAAATTTGTTTTTTTTGTCATTTCATAAAATATTCTCTGCAACTTCATCTACCGTCCTAAGATTTATTTTTAAAATAATTTTTTAAAATGTTTATATTTTTTAATTAAAAGCAATTTTTGTGCTCCTTCTTCTTTTTTTTTTTTTTTTTTTTTTGTATATTTAATTTTTAACAATTTTTTTTTTAATTTCTTTATTTAAACCATATTTATTCCTGATTGTTATCCGAAATAGTGAGGACAGATAGTGTAAGCAGCATTCTTCCCTTGTTCCAAATCCATCTGCACTCCACTTTTTAGCATTAATTCTCATGCCTTTCTCTTCTACTTTATTAGATTAGCATAATTTGGTCTGGTTAACACTTTTACTACTTCATTATCGCCTGGCTATGCTAGCCAGTTTTTTGAAAAATAAAATATTGCCACATCCAAATCCAGGACATTCCGACTCCTGTTGGAGGAACCCCTCCCTGATTAACCATCTCTTCAGGGGTGTAGCCATACTTTCTATGCTTGACCAATTGAGGGTTATTTAACCTATAGTTGGAGGCTTCGAATTCAGAGTTCTCCTTCTACACTGGTTGCCATCCAAGGCTATAGAACCCAGTCTGTCCTGCTATTTACCCATAGCTAGGGTGGAAGGGAGAAACAATGGGTTCATACCTTTCCCATGCATGAATTCACCACTTCTCCCCCCCCAACTATGGGTTAAATAGTAAAACTTGTATTAGAAAGTTTATCTCCAAAAAAATTCTTATAATCCCAAAATTTGTTTTGGGCTTTAAATAACTGTAAAAAGGTTGATAAGCGGTAAAAAATCCACTGTTCGTCTTAAAACTAGAGAAAGAGCTGATAAATAGTGGTGAGTTTTTTTTTTATACATGCCTCAATGTCACTTCTGTTCTTGTATTTACTTATGCAGAGCTAAGAAAAACTGTATAATCAAGATTTTTATTCAGAAAAGTTAGTAAAAAGAAATTGTCAATAAGATTTTATCCTGAGCGCTAGAATATTTTTTTCTTTTACTTTTCACTCAGTACAAGGCTCAAGAGCCATTCAGTGTAGAGAAGGAAGTGGTGAGTGAAGATTATGATGACGAAGAGGTTAACAATTGACTCTTAACTTTAAAAGCTTACAATTGAAATGTTCAGAGAAACATCTTCGGGACTGTTCCAAGAAGCAGCAGTTTTCAGTATGTCTTTTTCAAGATTTTATTCAGAGCTCCATTTAACTGATAAAGAAAACACTGGTCCAAAAGATACAGAATAAAACAACAAAGATAAGGATACTCTTCTAAATACTTCATGGAATGATGATTCTATTTAAGATTTAGACTGCATCTTAATTAACCAACCGGAACTGTTATTGTGATTTTCTTGCTTCTCATGGTATCCCCCCGCCCACACTCCTATTTTAATTTCCATATTCAACTCTGATATTATTGCTGCCTTCTTTTTACTTTCGCCTTATGCATCTCGTCCATTCTCTGGCATCTGCATTGAAATAATCGTTTCTTCAATCACCAAACTTTCTAATAAACATGGCCATCTTCTGCGATAATTCCCTCCATGTAATCAGTCGTTAGTCAATAGCAAATTTCATTGTCGTTCATAACCAATCATTTTTGCCATGGCATTTATTTCTTTCTGTCATCCATGAATATTAATTTATTTTCATTTCTCAGTTTGGCTTGAAAGCTGCATTTCTTTGTTGGCATTGATGTGGACAGTATTATTCCTGTTTTAGTTAACCACATTACAACGGCTATAATTATTTTGACAGATTATCTGAAAGCATTTTGGCAATACAAGATTATTATTATTATTATTATTTTTTTGTCATGAGGACATTAAAACCTTTGGCTGTAACATTCCCGAGGCTTATGGCCACATGTTTAAACACCGGTTCCCGTATGATCACCAAAGTTAAGCAATGTTGAGCCTGGTCAGTACCTAGATGAGGTGACTGCATGGGAATACCAGGTACTGTAGACTTGGATGGCTTACGGCCACGTCACGTTGAAACACTGGTTCTCATATGATCATTGAAATTAAGCAACAACAAGCATGGTCAGTAGCAAGATGGCTGACCTCATGGGAATAATAAGATGCTGTAAGCTTGGATTTGAGGCTGGTGTAATGGTAATGGCTTGGAAGTGTTAATCGGAGAGCCGAGTTTCAGTTCCCTCTTGTGGCCATTATATTCACTTATGTGCAAAAAGCCTTCGGAAATCCATCTCCTCTTCTCCCCTCCCAGCTATGGATCAATTAGTAAGATTTGTATCACTAAACCATTGCTATCTCAAAAAAAAAAAAAAAAAAAAAAAATTATTAAAATCTAAAAATATTTGCTAACTTTAAATAACCTGCAATGGTTTAATGAGTTCTAGAAAATGAATCAAGTTTTATATTTTTGAGCCAAAAGTTGTACACCACAAAATGGTACCTTGAATTAATTATCAAGCTTCTTAAATTCTATTGGAACATTCCAAAATGTTTCTGCTGTCATTTATACAGCCATTGTATTGTTCTGGAAAATATGAGTATTATTTAAGTAAATTCTCTCTTTCATACACACACATCAGGTGTTTTTAAAAATGGATCTACCATCTTTTTTTTTCTTTTAATTTGTGCTTATGCTTATACAGGATATGTTGAAAGCCATGCACACAACATTGTATATTACATTATGTATGTCTGTATTTTTGTTCTTTGAGAAATTTGTTGTTAATTTTTAAGCTGCTCTTTATCAGTCAGATTGTTTTTGTACCAAAGTTTACATTTAATTCCTTCTCCTTTTATTTGGATTTCGTTGATAAAAGTATTAATCTCACTTTAATTTTCCTTTCTTTAAAGATTTTTTTTTTTTTTGGTTTTAAAAGATCTTTGAATTTTATTTATTTTATTTTCAAAAAATTAAATCAACCATTCAATTTCTGTCACAATCTGCCTGCCAATAAATAAAAAAAACTACTTTTCTTTTTTTACCTATTTCTTTTTGTTTTACTTATCGGAAGGCTTTTTTTTTTTTCTTGACCGTTTATATTTTTCTTTTATAATCTGTCGGCATCTGTAATGAATGAAGAATAATTTCTTTGATCTTCATTGTTGATGCTTGATCAGTACTTTGCAGGAGACACTTGTGTCACATGTTCATTCAATCGTATCTGGCTAATCTTCTCTAATAAGATTATGTTTTTATTATGCCATATTCATATAGAGTTGTTTTTGTATTCAAACTGGTGGCGTATCGGGTTGAAGCACCAGTTATCGTATGATCACCAAAGTTAAACAATGTCAAGCCTGGTCAGTATCTAGGTGGGTGACGACTTTGGAATACCAGGTGCTGTAAGCCTGGATATGTGTCTGCTGTAATATATAATGGCTTGGAATTGGAAATTAGAGAGCCAAATTCTAATTCCTGTAGCATTCGTTATATTTCTTACGCACAGATAATATTGGGAAAGGTATGAATCCATCTCTTCTCTTCCCTGATATGGATTAATTAATAGAACTTGTATCAATAAATCATTATCTCCAGAGAAAGTATTTTAAGATTTAAAATATATATTCTGGCTTTAAATAGCCTGGAAAAGGTTAATAAACTAAATATATATATATATCAGATTAAAGTCTATTTTTTTCCTTGATTTTCTTTGTTGTGATGTATATTTATTTCTACATTCATTTTTTGGAATTAATTATTTACTTATACAAGTTCTACTAATTAACTCATAGCTGAGAAGAGGTGGATTCGTACGTTTTCCAAGAGTGTTTACACCTAAGTGAATATAACAAGCCTGATTGAAATCGGAACATTACATTACCATCTAGCTAGAGATCACGTTTGACATTGCTTAGTTTCAGTGATCCTATGAGAATTAGTGTTTCAACGTGATATGACTGTAAGCCAGTTCTTATGTGAACTCAGATAAATACACATAATGCCGTCACTTGGAATTACAATATTATCTGCTTGAAATGCAGTTTTTTTTAACTTTCTTTTTTTTTCCGTTTTAAATACCCTAAAGTATTAATCTTCCAATCAGATGTTCTATCTGCTGCCAGAATGCTTATTAATAAGTTTTTCTTTCTGCTGTATATTTATGTAAACATGTGATCACTGCCGGGTTTCATTTTACTATCATTTCATCGATACAGAAGCATACCATTTCTTGATGCGAAATATAACCTTGTGTAAGACGTGAATAGAGAATACAAAGTGACGCCATTCTTTGGTTGAAGGAAAATAACTTGTGAAGTTGGTCATAATTATCCTTTTCACTCATTAACATTATGTTTCTTCTGATTTAGTCCAGAGAGATTGCAAAGAGTTTTGTATAATTACTTTTCAGTTAATGCCACAGATTCAGAGAGAAAGGAAGAATAAATTTAAAAATCTGAAGTTGGGTCTTTTATTAACTGAAAGAATTTCTACCATTCTGCTAATTACCCAACTGGCATTAAGATGACTTATAGGTGACATCGCCTTCTAAGTTCAATAATGATAATGCATGATTGCATCATAAATTATCAGCAGTCCCATGACCAGATGTGATCGTAGGGTCGCTGAGCACCTGACCAGTTCTTTCCACATGAAAGACAGATAGGCATTCCTTTATGTACAGTATGTCTTGTGCAAGTTTACCTGACGCAGCTCATCCATCTCTGAGCCAAACCACAGCTGATGTCCTCGAAGTTGAAGGCTCGCTTTGGTCATGGACACGTTGATTCCATTGGGAGATCCCTCCGCGTTTCCCAGGCCGTTGACTCCAGTTTAGGAAGCCTTCTGCTTCGTGTGATCATGTCATTATATAGTTATGGATCCCCGTCTACTCTACTGTGCTCGACGGCCGTTAATTCTACAGGAAGGTTAATCTGCTCATTAATAGGTCTTGCTTGTAATCTTTCTGGTATTTCGCCTTTCTCCGCACCAAAAAAGCCTGGTGGGGAAACCGGTTGAATCGCCGATGACACGACCATGCGGCAGGTAGAACTGGGTTACATCGTACCAGTGGCACTTGTACAGTGAGCTGGCATAAAATGCGTGATTACAGAGATCGATAGATAAAAGTAAAAAAAAAAAAAAATGTCGGTCTTCTCTGTGTTTATATCAATATATATCTTGAAACCAAACCTGTCTTACTGTTAAATTATGCTTTCCAGCATTAAATTGCTTTTAAAAGCATAAAAGAAAGAAAAGTTAGGTTATATTCATTATTTTATTTTTCCTTTATAAACTGTAAAATCGATTCACTTCAACTGATTACAAGAATTTATTCAATTTTTTTTTGTCTTGAATTAGGAGTTTCTTTAGTCCCGTCTCTTTCTGGGACGAAACTCCTTCCCAATATAAAGTGTCACCTCGACGTAAGTTGTTTCTCACTTGTGTTTTCTATCTTCCCCAGCTTTTTCTCTTAGTTTTAGCACAGGGCTACAAATATAGGGCACCCAGTGAGTATCGAACTCATTACACACTAATACTGGCCAACCAGACTAGCGCGCTAACAATTACCCCATTCCGAGGCGCCCGTTCTTGTCTTAATTCCGCATAATTGTAAGCCTTTGTATTGTCAGTATTTACTCTGTCCCCACTCTTGGACGAGATGTGACACAAGGTCTATATTTATGGTGGGGATTCCGAGTGCGTACACCCGGGACAGGAACAAAAATTCCCCGCATCCGTCGGTTGCGCTGGCCTCGGTGCGAGCACCGATCCCTCCCTCTGATGCGATGGGAGGGCGCGGCCTCGGGCAGCTGTTCCCCAGGGCTGGGCACCTCTTCAGTATGATTTTCCTCAGTTGCTCCTCTGTCCTTTGACAGAGAAGCCCCTGAGCGCACTCTGCCTAAAGACATCGACGCAACTAAGTGATGATAAGTAAACGTGACCTTACTCAAAAAGAATAGTATTACACTAGTGACCGAGAGGTGAGAGTATTAATTATAATTTAACAAATATTTATCCGACTTTGGTTAGTCTTGTACCAATGCTATGAACTGGAATTAATTAAATTGGTTTTGGTTTTAAATAGTTCTGTTTTCGTAAAACTCGGGTCTACATTTAAATGCTTGATGCCCATGATACGGCTGTAAAAAAAACAAAAAAACAAAAACAAATAATTACCTCGAAAAACAAATGTCCTTTGTTCGGTTGAAGGTAAAGACTAAAGCAGAACATTGTGTTCTGTATTAAATCTAGACACTAGTCGTACAAGCTGTGATATCGGCAATTAAGGCTGCCCACTAAATAAAGACACCACCACCCCCTCCACCACACGTTGGTCTTGTTAAAAAGATGATAGCATAGTGGTTAAACTATACTGGTGTATAAACTTAATAGTTTTCTCTGATTTCAAACAGGCGAAAAATGTCTTGAGCAAGGATGTTTCCTCGGGTATACTTCTCCATTCTACTAGAAGATAAGTGGGATTTGTTGTACACCCTGATGCCTGCAGCAAATAAGCATCCTTTTTTTTCTTACTTCCCAAGTACTAATCTTTTTGAAAACCCAAAAGTGTAAGTCGGCAGTTATTAGTTTGTATCAAGATATATTATTTCACACTTAGTAACTCCTTGCGTGTTAGTGGCTTGGGGTGTAATTATTCAAAAAAGACTGCAACTAGTAGGCGGTGGTTAGCTTAGTACAACTCGAGTGTGGGGCACTTATTGAGCAGTGAACTCACTCTGCTGGTCATTGTTATTGAAACATTGGTTGTGTAACCGGCCTAAAGATTCGAACGAAAATGCAACGGTTCATGCCTTCCGTATATTGTTTCTTTAGCTGTTATATATTTACGGCATGTATATTAACTATTTTTCTTTAGCGTTATTACTTACAGCTAAGTAATAAAGAAACTTAGATTTCAACTGGTTTGGATCTTTTGCAAAAAGCGGAAACTTAAGCCATTTGAGGAATATTTCATTTAATCTCAGATACTGACAACCTTTCCCAATAATTCGATGATATTAATTTCACTTGTTTGTCGATTTGGATTTTATGGATGTGTGGGTGGTGCAATGGATAACAGCTCAGAATGACAAATCAGAGAGCTGAGTTCGAATTCAAGTCGAGTTCTTTAGATTCACTATATGCGTAAATACCTTTCGAAAGGTATGAATCCATCTCTTCTCTCCAGCTATGGTTTAAATAGTAGAAATTGTATATGGAAGAAATTATTGATATTCTCAAAAAACTGTTGATGTAATATTCACTTGCCAAAGAAAAATGTTCTTATTCTTACAATCCAAATTGTTTCGGCTTTAATTAACCCACAAAAGGTTGATAAAACTTTAAAAAACTTATTAATAAAAAAAAATATTGTGAATATATTTCCAGTTTAATTAAGAGGTTCATTAAAATTTTAGGGATCTACTACTTTAGTACCAGAAGTTTTCCTATGAAGTTTAATGCTTCCATGGCTTAAAATATTTCCAAATTTATACGAAGTTCTTTCGCCTTATTCTTAGATCTCTCCACCATTTTATATATTTAGCTTTATTGGTAGAAAAGAAGACTAGAGGCTACTGAAGTCGGAAATGTACCAGATTCTAAAATGAAGCAGTATTTGCTGCATAATTTCATATTTAGAAAGCACACACGATTTGGACATAATTGTGCAATATCTAACGAGGCTATGGCAGGTGCCTTGACTTATTGTATAAATGTTTAAAATTGGTTCCTTTTTATTCCAGTACTTTGGTTCAGTATATCTCAGTTCTGTTCTAATTAAATGTGTGTACTTGTAAAATCGTTCGTACCGTTTTTCATTATTTCATTTTTTCCCGGTCAATTGCCCACTACATTTTTTTTTAATAGCGAAACTCCAAAAATTCAGTTTTGTAACATCCTTACCATTTTGTGAAAGAAAATATTCATAACGCATGCTTTTTAACAAGGAGCAAACAAAATAGGAAATTGTTATATGAATATGTTGCTTCATATAATTATCGGTCATGCAGCCTGAGATCCTCTTCTTAGTAATTAGATAGTCCCTTGTTTAACAAGAAGCATTACTTGATGTCAATAAGTAAACATGCTTCGTGTTACCATATTTACTTCATTTTTAAAATATTAGTTTAATCGTGTCTTAATTGGATATGTCGAATGTTGGAAGCGAATTGGGAAATACTATGTAATATCGTTTGTAAATGCATAGATATTGCTTTCTTTAAGTAATATGTTTTATGAATATTGTTGTTATAAAGAAGTGCGCCCGGTTGGTAGTCATTGTATGTTGAATAACTATTACTTATCCTTCTAGGAATAAGTTATATTAAATTTATTAGTAAGGTAGCATTTTTAAAATCGAAATTTGTGCCTGTTTTGTTTCTTTGTCATGCAGATGAAAATGAAA